TCTCCATAGTTCGTGCCCTGACGACGAGTTAATGAGGAAGGGTTCGGGTTGGAAGATTTGGCTATACGGTCCGTGACATGCGCCGGCTGCTTCGTTAAAAACCTTAAGCTAATAAAAAATCAAGTTGGAAAAAAATTTAGCTAAGGAAAAAAGAGTACAACTTTAATCGCAGTCTGGTGGACTAAAAAGGGGTTGCTCGACCTAGGGGTCGGTTATGCAATACGAGTTGCGAGATCGAACTTTGCCGATCCAACGATTGGGCTGCCGACTATGACCGAGAGGTCGAACTTAACTGCGATACGATCTAGAGATCTACCTTATCCATCTAGCGACCAGATTTGCGGCACGACCCGAAAGACCGGATTTTACCGATCTGGGGATCCGGATGCTAGCTACGACTAGATTGTCGGATTAATTGCGATCGAAAGATATAACTTTACCAATCACGAGATTGGATTTACTCACGATCTAAGGATCAAACTTTCTATGATGGTTTTAAGAGACCAAACTATATCGATCAAGGGATCGGGTTACACCAATCGGGAGATTGGATTTACTCGTGATCCAGGGATCGAAACCGATCAATCAAGAGATTGGGTTTGCAGGGAAACCGTCTAATCACCCCTTACCAATCAAGAGATTAGTTTTATTCACAGTCCGGGGACCTCAACTGATCGCATGGATTGCAAGCGGGAACGCTTTTCCCGGTGCCCTTCACTCGGACTAACTAGCTACGACTGATTTGAGCTCGGTCAAACTCTAATCTAGATTACTCGATTAAAAGATCGTTCTTAGTCGATTGCGATCGGCTGGCTTTGAATATTACACTAATCACTACAACTTGCTTTTGAGAACAAAGAGTTATTCGGTCGGGGCGATTTCCCCCTTCTCGCCCTGACTTTCTACGGTACTAAGGTGTGGTCACCCAGTGCTCGGGGTCCGATGACAGTAGGTCGGGAGCCTCCAAGAGGGTGCCTGAACTTTCCGTCAGTCCAAAAGTCCTTCTTGCCATAGTACATGTGGATATTTATAGGTGGAGCGGAGGGGACAGGTGCCCGGGTTGCCGCCATGGCGGGCACGTTTCTAGTGCGTAACGAGTGGATATGCGGGCAACACCTGCTTTAGACATGTACAGCATTCAAGGAAGGCCATGCATGTGGGCAAACGACCGGGACTGCCGGTCGGGACGGCCCGATCACTAGCTGTCAGTCGGTCTAAAAAGAGCGCAGTGAGCCTAACACATACCGATCGGACCATGCGGCATATGAGTACCTTGCTAGGGAAGTATATTCCTATCAGTAGGAATGAAATTAAAATTCCATCCTATTAAACACCCCATAAGAGTTTCTATAATGCTATAGTGGCTTACTTTTTATTTATTTATTGAGTTAATACCCAAAATTGTCCTCGACTATAGTGGTTTTCCTCAATTTCGTCCTAAACGACTTTGGTGACCTAATATAGTCCCAGACTTTTGTGTTTCGCTCAATTTAGTCCTCCGTTTGTTATTCCATTAAATTGGTGTTAAATAAAGGGACAATTCAATAATATCAATATTGACATCTCTTTACTTTCAACCTGCGAAGTGAGAAATCTCTCTTTCTTACACGAATTACACCCAGAGTTACTCTCAGACCTACAAATCAAATTTTATATTCGCAGCTTTAGAAGTGATTCTGGGAGTAATTCGTAAAAAAAAAAAAAAAAAGAGGGATTTCGCACTTCATATGTCTATGAATAAAGAGATGCCAATATTAAAATTACTGAATTGTCTATTTATTTAACAACAAATGGACGGAATAACAAATGGGGGACTAAATTGAGCAAAAACACAAAAGTCTGGGAGGAAATTGAGTAAAAACACAAAACTCTGGGACTACATTAAGTCACCAAAGTCGTTTAGGACAAAATTGAGAAAAACCACTATAGTCGAAGACGATTTTAGGTATTAATTCTTTATTTATTTATAAGAATAAGAATAATTTACAATAATTTTATTTATTGCTTTACTAAAATAAAATAATAGAGATTTATACTCCAATCCATATAAAGTTTTGTATTGAAATGTCCTCTATATATATGTGTGATTTGGATCAAATAAAAACTTATACTAAGATAAACTAGGAACAAATTAGAAGTGTTCATCTGACAAATCTAATGACTTTAAAAGTAAGAATAGTATTAAAAATGCAGTAACACTTTTTATAAATAATTCAAAATTTAAGTGTATTTGGCAATACTATATAGTGCATTTTAGAATGCGTCTTGTGATATGTGAAACTGTGGTGAAAAGATTCAGTTTTTAGATATTATAGTTTGTTGTTTTTTCTGATTTAATGAATTAATCTTTCTTCTTCAAAAAATAAATTTTTTTTTTTTTTTTTAGTTTGGTTTAAAAGTTCACTGTCTAAGTTTAACATTATTTATTGTTTACCTATAAAGTTCACTTTTTCAAATTTATTGTTTAACTTTTTTTAGGGATTCACTATTTACTAGTGTTTAATATTTATAGTTTAACTTTGTGTATAGATTTTTGTTTTAGTTTTCAAGATTTATCAAAAGATATGATGCACTTTGTAGTATGTCTAGCGTGCACTCTATATTGTTACTAAATCTATTTTAAAGTTTGAATTATTTACAAAAATATCACCTCCACATTTTTGTTTTGTTTTTTTTTTTGTTTTTGTTTTTTTTCCTAATTGATGTCGATTCGTTAGATTAAATGGACGACTTTGATTTGGTTCATAGTTTTTTCCTAATTAAACATATATTCTCACATGAGTGTAACTATATGTGTGTGTGCCTACGCGTACGCGCTACACTTGCTTTCACTTTTCACAACATTTTCTTTATCACATGACTTGTAAAAAGTCATATCCATCATACTTTTTTTATTAATGGAAATGCTTTGACTATTTAATCTTTTTCATTTAATAGGCTATTTATGATTATTGTTACTAATATCATTCAAATACAGTTTTGAAATACTTAATAGTTATTAGTTATACATTTAATATGTATTACAAAAATATCTTGTAACTTAAAAAATTAACCATTATTTATTATCCACAAAAAGAAACAATTGCATTTAGTTAATACATTAAATATACTATTTAAATTTGAAAGAAATACTACATAAATAAAACTAAAAATATGATTATTATTTTTTAATTTTACATACAAAGGATTTAAAAAAAAAATTGAAAACACACTAAAGAGTATCTTTGTTCCAGCAATACTCTCTCACTTCAAAAGTAAGTTCTATTTTCACTACATCATCAAATTTACAATTTTTTCACTATGTTTTCTACTTCTATGCAATACTTTTTACTTTAAAAAATAGTGCTATTTTCCCATCACATTATAATATAATAACAAAATAATAAATAAATACAAAAAAAAAAAATTAGGACAAAAGGCTGGCAATCCATAGCCTTTTGTCAAGGTTGAAAGCTTTTAAACTGTGAAAGCTTTCAAGCCATCTGGATTTTAATGCAAATTAAAGGGGGAAAAATAAAAAAGAAATCTAAGTCAGCTTGCAAGTGCCCTAAATTTATAGGATAAAGTCAGGCTAAAGATCAACTATATAAATCGTGACAAAGAAATGTCAACAATATGTAGCCAAATGTATTCGATGGAATAAAAAACATATGCAACTTCAACCATATGTAAATTAACGAAATCCCATAGTCACCCAATTTGTACCATTATTAACTTTTTCATATAGGTATTTGAGTATACATTCTTGGTTCCGTTTGATTTTTTGTAAAAGTTATTTATTGACTTTCTTAATTTGAATTCACTAACTTAAGTTAGTTGCAAACTTTTATCTGCTAAATCATAAATGAGTTTCACCTTTGAATAGCGATTGTAAACTTTTTTTGTAATTTTTTTTTAAAGTTGCACCTTTTAGTCTTTGTAAGATAAGTGACTAGGAGCTAGAAAAAATGCGGGCAGGAATTAAAGGGGTATTTGGTAAAATAAAATTGTAATTTCATTGTTACTAAACTTCATGAAATTACACTTCAATGGTTTGGTTGGGGAAAATTGCAATTTTTAGATTCGTCTTACAAATTATTATGAATTCTCATTTTATTCTTTGTTATGAATTCATAATTTTATTTTCTTCTCTAAGGATAGCCGGATTCACCGGACGCCTGATTTAGCGAGCGGAGGTGGCAGAAAGTGAAAGCATGCAAACGCCACCTCAGCGCTACCGTGATGATACCACGCGTCGCCACCTTGGCATCTGTAAATCTGCAGCTCTTAACCTTCCACCTTTGGGACCATTACGACGCTTGGACTGTATGACTGTGCTGACCAGTTTGTTATTTTTAATGTTACATTAAAACATTAAATTGCTTCTGTCGGATCCTAAGTTTTTATTTTTATTTTTATTTTACTTTTGTGTGCATGTATGTATGTGTATAAGATGCGACTAACTTAACTGTAGAACAACAACTCTATTTAGAGCAGGACATTATTGTAAAATATTTAACATTTACAAAAGCAATTTAGGATCATTCAAAATTAAGTTGAAGAATTAGTGACAGTTAACTGATTGAGTTAATTAGAAGGTATAATTAATCGATAACATTAGTTGATTGTAGAAAGGTGTTTGGTAAATTAGCCGTTAGCTGAAAGCTGTTTGATATAATTTTCTTTCCCAAAAAGTTAATTGAAAAAGTTGTTTTGATCAATTTTTTAAATTTTAACATTATGAAGTTAAAAAAAAATTAATTAATCAAATAAAAAAACTAATAGTTGTTAAATAAGTCAAAATTGATCAGCTAACTATTTTACCAAACAGGACCATTATTGGGTATAAGAAACAATTTCATACAAACTTACTGAATGGAGTGAAAATGTAGAATGAAATAGTAAAGTTTTACTGTGTCAGGTATCTCAAATGTCATTATTGTGGATTATAATTTCTGTGTAAATATATGCTTTGTAAACAAAATCAAAATTTGTTCCAAATGATAGAATTGCGTATAGGTATAAAGCTAAGGTACTCTGATCTGGCACACTGCAAGTCTGCAAGGGTGTAGGCTCTCCTGAACCCTCCCTCCCTCCATCTTAGCTTGTGTGTGCAGTTCGTGCAAGCTAAGCTTTCAGGAAAGCATGTTTCTTCTTCTTCTCCTGAACAGTGAAGCTAATAAGCAAATGCACAATGCATGCTATTCCTACCCTATTCTTTCCTTTTCTGTGATAATGTACAATGCTTCTTCTTCAATCGTCTATGATTCTTGAATCTTCTTCAAGGTTTTGTGAAACCCAGACAGAGTATTTGAATTCCTCTAGATCTAACACCTATTCTTGAATAATCCAAAATTATGACAGCTAAAAGAGCTATAAAGATTAGATTTTTGCCCAGAAAATCCTAGCATACTCTTCTCTTTTCCGGAGGGACTGATTGTTTTTAGCTAAAAGTTGAATAATTTACAGCCCCACCGGTACGGTTCTTGCTTGAATGACCATGAAAGTGACCCAGAAAGATTCGGAGAAATCAGTGTGGGATCAGATGAGAAGCGCCTCCGCCGCGCCTCTCTCTGCCGTCGCCACCTCGCAAAATCGGGTGTTTCCCAAATTCATGGTCTGGCTCGTCCTCTTCGCCTCCGTCACCTACGTAATCTACACCTTGAAGCTTCTCTCCGCCTCCGGGACCTGCAACCACGACGTTTTCGTCGTCCAACGCGACGCCCGCTTCCCTGCGCCGTCACAAATCAACTCCACGGCGGCGGCATTAGAGACCCGGATTCAAGAACCCGAGAAAACGGGTCTGGAGCACGTGGTTTTCGGCATTGGGGCGTCGGCGAAGCTGTGGGACTCCCGGAAGAATTACATAAAGCTTTGGTGGAAGCCGGAGGAGGGAATGAGGGGGGTGGTGTGGCTGGACAAGCCGGTGAACACGTCGGAAAGAGAAAACTCGTCCCTCCCGGAGCTGAGAATCTCCGGCAACACCTCCCGTTTCCCCTACAACAACAAGCAGGGCCACCGGTCCGCCATCCGGATTTCAAGAATCGTGTCGGAGACCCTCCGGCTGGGGATGGAGAACGTGCGGTGGTTCGTGATGGGCGACGACGACACCGTTTTCATAACCGATAATCTGGTCAGAGTTCTCAACAAGTACGATCACAATCACTTCTACTATATCGGGAGTTTGAGCGAGAGCCATTTGCAGAACATTTACTTCTCTTATAATATGGCTTATGGGGGTGGCGGCTTTGCTATTAGCTACGCTTTAGCTAAAGCTCTGGAGAAAATGCAGGATAGATGCATTCATAGATACCCTGGGCTTTATGGCTCTGATGATAGAATGCAGGCTTGTATGGCCGAACTCGGCATTCCACTCACCAAAGAAGTCGGTTTCCACCAGGTGAGTTAGTGAGTTTCCTGTTTTGCTAATCATGCTTGCCGACACTGGATTTACTTTAATCTGCTGTTTTAGGATATTTGTTTAGTTTAAGGAACTGCCTTTGTGGAAATAGTTATGAATGAGACATGCCCATATGGATAACTCAGTTGGTAGATTGTGAACAAGGATGCAGATCTAGTCCTAGTAGCCACAGTGTAGTAGTTACAACTAACGTGGTGGGCTTTCGGCGAGTCTTGCCACCTGATGGGCCGCGGAGTCACTATGATTTACCACATCCACAAACCCCGGTCGGGATGTGTGGGGCCAGGGGCGAGATTGTTGGGTACTGGTCTTGCCCCACCTAATGGCCCCTGAGTCACTATGATTTACCACCTCCACAAACCCCGGCCAGGGTGTGTGGGGCCTGGGGCGAGATTGTTGGGTACTGGTCTTGCCACCTGATCGGCCCTGAGTCACTATGATTTACCACCTCCACAAATTCCAACTGGGGTGTGTGGGGCCCATGGTTAATGTCTGATGATCTGCTGAGTCACCATGATTTATCACATCCACAAATCCGGGCCTGGTGTGTGTGTGTGTGTGTGGGGGGGGGGGGGGGGGGGGGGGGGGGAGGTTGTGATTAATGCAGCTATTCCAACTGGGGTGTGTGGGGCCCATGGTTAATGTCTGATGATCTGCTGAGTCACCATGATTTATCACATCCACAAATCCGGGCCTGGTGTGTGTGTGGGGGGGGGGGGGGGGGGGGGGGGGGGCGAGGTTGTGATTAATGCAGCTAGGGGGTGGGGCGAGGTTGTGATTAATGCAGCTAGTGTCGGGGCGGGGGGTGGGGCGAGGTTGTGATTATTCAACTCTGGTTGTTTGTGTTGGCTCTATTACATTGTAGTATCTGTTCATATACTTTCTCAACCTACTGAAACACAAAGAACCAATAACGCCTATACTTTCTCAACCTACTGAAACACAAAGAACCAATAACGCCTCCACTGAGGCTTGAACTCATAATCTTCCAAATGGAAGTCCAACCCGGGTACCATTAGACCACATTGTTTGTGTTTAATTATACTACTGCTTCAATAGTACATATGAACTGTACCTGCAATGTTTTTAACTTTTATGTAACTGTGTCAATCATTGAAGAGCCTCTAGTTACTATATGTTTTGTTTAATCTGTGTGGAGGTCTGCAACTATGTTTAGAAAGTAAAGTGTGGAAATTCGGTTTATTGCCCAATTGGTTGTTATACCTGCATTTTTTGGTGATTTCTAGGAACATGGTTAATTAATGGTCTAATGAGCATCCTGAGTTGTAATTTTTGCAGAATTCTAATGTTGTTGTTTGTTGTTGGATTGGCGATTCAGTTTGATGTATACGGGAACTTATTTGGGCTGCTATCAGCACATCCCGTGGCACCATTGGTTTCGTTACACCATCTTGACGTGGTAGAACCCATCTTTCCCAATGTTACTCGAGTCGAAGCTCTCCAACGTCTTATGCTTCCAATGAAGCTCGACTCAGCTGGATTAATTCAACAATCGATTTGTTATGACAAGGCTAAGAGCTGGACAGTTTCGGTCTCCTGGGGCTTTGCGGTCCAAATTTTTCGTGGAGTGTTATCCCCGCGCGAAATAGAAATGCCCTCGAGGACTTTCTTGAATTGGTACAGGAGAGCTGATTATACAGCCTATGCTTTCAACACGAGGCCTGTCATGAGGAACCCTTGCCAGAAGTCGTTCGTTTTCTATTTCTCGAGTGCAGAAATGGATTCTTTTGCTAACGAAACAGTGAGCAAGTATGTTCACCATCCGCTTCCCCGTCCTTTTTGCAAATGGAAGATGCCAAACCCTGAAGAGCTCGAGAGAATCGAGGTGTATAAGAAGCCTGACCCGCATTTATGGGATAGGGTAAGTCTCATTTCCTAGCTTTCGTTCATTGATTCCCTTCTAAATATGTCAATTTGATCTTACCACTATACATGTTTTCTTTGTAACAACTCCCATTTTTAGTACCTAAAAACAAAAAACAATTCTGCGGAACAGATTGGTGTCATTTGATGTTGTTCTTGTTTCTTGTACTATATATCACCTAATTTTTGTTTCTCCTATGTTGCTTTCGAGCAGTCTCCGAGGAGAAACTGTTGCAGGGTCTTAAATTCAGACCAGAAAAGTATGGTGGTGAATGTGGGGCTATGTAGGGAAGGCGAGGTGAGCGAAATCTGAAGGTACGAGCCTCAGCCCCGGCCCCTTCCCCTGTTCTTGAACCGCCTTCTCCCCGCTAGTTCCCATCGTTTCGCTAAGCTTCTCCACGGAAATGTTCTTGGGTATTGCGAAGCTAATCCCTCGAGGGGTGAGAATATACATATATATATAATGTGATGATTAGTGAAGTTTAGCAGCAATGTAGGATTCTGTATTCTTTTTGAACCCTTCCTCTCCTTCCGGATTATGCACATGCTGCCATGAAATCTGAGATGTAAAACATCATTTATGAGAGTTTGTTGAATCTTCTGCAAGAAACTCTCACTTATCTCTCTGATCTGCATTCTTTTGGTGTCTTAAGCTCCATAATGGTGTGCTGGTTCTGGTATCAGATGTAAGGTGGTGTATATGTATTATTATTATTATTATGCTGTGCAGAAACTTTATTTGGTTATATCATAAACTTTAATTTCTTCCTGTACTTTAAAAATATAAATTTGTATGATCTCTTTCTTTCTCTCCATATATGCTTATAATAATCTTATAATCCATGGATTCAACAACTACGGTTTTGGAGGGATATGTGATGGTTAGTTGTGATTTAACTTGTTTAAGATTCTATTCATAAAATCATTTTATATTACAATCAAGAAATAGTGTAGGAGTTACACCTAATGTGGTGAGCTTCTTGTGAACACTAAACACTGATACTCTCTTATGATGGGACTCTAGTCATAGTGATTTAACAATCTGCTATCATGTTGGGCCGAGGCTGCGAGGCAGGGAGGCCTTGGAAGCTATGAAAATTTTACTTTTATAGGCAAGAAAAACAAATTATTGTGTGGACCATTGTTCAAAACAATGTCGTTTTTATTAAAAAAAAAAAAAAATCTTACTCCGCGTGGGTGTTAGAATAATGAACCTTCTGAAGTAAGATAATGTATTTTATTAGTTAGAATAATATAATTTATGTTTTTTTTTAACCTTGGTTCATGTAGGCATACAGTTGTGTGGACCACGATCTATGAAATAATGATTATTGGGCAACAAATGGTCCCACTTCTTTCAACTATTGGGCTTTTGTTGGGCCCGTCATATATATATATATATATATATATATATATATATATATATATATATATAAAGAAAAATATTTCATGGACTCTTAAAAATTTACTCCAACTTTTACTTTCACTTGTGTTCAAATTTGATTGAAAGAAGAAAAAAATGAATAGATAAACATCATGGCTCCTTATCAAGTTTGAGTAATCAAAGTATAACAAATCGGAGTAAAAAATGAGAGTAGGAATTGGGAATATATGTAAAATTATTCATATATTAATCCATGCAAAAACAGCAATACTTAAGCCTGGCTTTCACGTGACCTCTGATCTTTGCAGGACTGACGATAATTTCATTATCTTTTGTTGCGACTTTACAGAAGACGTTAGCTCAATGCATCATCCTAATCGCAACCAATGCTACATGCAGCATCTGCAAGGTGAAACAATTTTTCATGTTCCAGATTTGATTTTACTTATTTTAAAAATAAATAAATAAATTTTAAACTCGCATGAATCAAATAAAACATTATGAAGTTCAGAAATGTCGTGTTTGGGTAGTTAAATCTAAGATTTAAGTTTACTTTTAGACGGTAACAACAATGGTGACAACAATAACAAATAAAAATAAATAAATAATAAATCATTCAATATTTATTTTTGTGGCATAGACGGTCATGTTTATGAAAAAATAATCATATAGAACAAATACTATTTTAATATCTTGTAAAGAATCATAGATGTTTTTTTAAAAATCAGTTTACAATTAGTGTTTGGTTCGCACATGAGAATCGTAATCGGAATGGGTATCAAATACTTAGTAATAATAATGGGTGGTGAAAGTATTTAATATGTTTGGTAGTATGGTGGAATGAGGATGGTTACTAATAATAGTGCTTGAGAAGGAATAAGGGAATGAAACTTTTTTTTTTTGGGTATGAATTTTTCAATTAATGGGGTATTCAAAATCTATAGTAGTGTTCTAAAAACCTAACAACCAAATACTAACAATCACTTTCATACCTGATGGGGTGTGGACCCAACGGGCTTAGGGCCCAAGAAGGGAGAGGGATCAAGCCCAGTGAGGGAGAGCCCAAAGATAGACCTGGACCAAGACGAGGAGTCGGCTCGAGTCGAAGGTCGGTGCGAGTGCAAGGTCGGTGCGGGTAGGAGGTCGACCTGGAAGTGACCGTTAGCATTTAAGATACCTATTAAAAAGGCCCGGTCAAACAAGCCGTTGGGGAGATCCAGTAACGGCAGCCCAACGGCATTAGAGTTGATAAAGGTCCATTATGGCCCTTAATTGTAAAGGCTTTTAATTTCCCAAAGAGGATCTCTATAAAAGGTCTCCTCAAAAGTTGTAAAGGGGGACGACAAAGACAAGCCAAGAATACATACATACTTACGGCTACTACTTTCTTACTTCTATTTTTGAAAGGTAAATCCACCAATTAAGATTCTGTTGGACCTCTCTGGGTCCAAAAAAACCTAAAACCAACAATACCGTACCTATTTCTATGAGCAAAACCTATCAACCAAACACACCCTAAATATTTTTGACAACATATATAAGTTGATAATTATTTACATGGTTGATTGGCTATAATATAGCATTTCTCAATAAAAATATAGAAAAAATCGATACCGGCCCCCACAATAAAATGGACTTTCTTTTCAACCGACAAATGTATGCCACCATCCAACCAACCAACACTGGATTGCGTCTACCTTGTAATGAAAATCCGAGTCCAAAATACACAATTTATATAGTAAATACTCATAATTTACATAGTAAATGTTCATAAATTGACGGCCACTCTCAATTGAAGACTTATGTATGTTGTTTTAAAAAAAAAAAAAAAAAAAAAAAAAAAAAAACATTCTGGCCGCCAACTACCTTGTAATGTGATGGTATCCCGATTACCATTTCAATTGGATGGTTATAGGGATTAGATTCTTTGACCTGAAAATATTTGAGAAAGTATAGTATTTCAAAAATAGCCAGCTTCTTGTTTTTTTTTTTTTTTAATCAAATTTATAATTATAATTAGAGAAAATTGCACTTTTCGTCCCTAAGTTATATGGTAATTGTAGAATTCGTCTCTGAGTGTTGATCATGCTTACTTTTCGTCCTTTCGTGCTCACTTTTCGCCCCTGAGTTATACTAAAATTGTAAATTTTGTCCCTAATGTTTATTAGTAAAAGGACGAAAAGTGCAACGTCAGTAATAATTTAGGGTCGAAAAGTGAGTATGACCAACACTTAAGAACGAATTCTACAATTACCCTATAACTTAGGGTCGAAAACTACAATTTCCCCTTATAATTACAATTATAATTTTTAAAATGATAATAGATAAAGAAATAATTAAAATATAGTGAGGTAAAATGATGGTCCACAAAAAAATTGAGAAAACCCTAAAACTAATTGGGAGAAGGGTTTTTGTGATTGAATGAGATAGTGAATGATGAGGTGGATGTTAGGGCCCACAAAAAATTGAAAAAAAAAATCTCAATTGATGAGGATGCTCTTAGAAGGCGGTGCAAACATGAAGGAGCAAAGTCTGGGATGCAAGCCCAAGACGTACTAGGACAGTCGTTATACCATGGACCATGGTTCATAGAGTTCTGTGGACCATGGTCTGAAAACGACGTCGTTTCTTTAAGTAGAGAAACGGTCGCCGTTAAATTTTAACAAATCCCATATCTTTTGTGTGTTTGTAACAAAATGAAACTTCCGTGTATCTAAAATGAAACTTAATAATTTGTCTCGCATATATTATTAAATGAAACTGTAATTGAATTGAAATGATACTTCAATTGTGTTGAAATGAAACTGCAGTATGTATGAAACGAAATTGAATAACATGTCTCACATATTGAAATGATACTTTAGTTTTGCTGAAATGAAACTACAGTATGTATAAAAAAAAAAAAAAACTGAATAACATGTCTCACATATTGAGTGTATATTGTCAAATTGGACTTCCTGCGGGAGCTACCGATTAGCCGTCTCAGTTTGAGTTGGTTAGCTATGAGCAATTTAAGCTAATTATCTTTGTGGTCCTTTGCTAACAAGGCGGACCTCCCCAAAACGCACATTCAAATATGAGTTGTAGGCAGGTTTAATTTTCTCGTAAATCAAAAGTGTAACAACTAGAATACCAGATGCACATAGAGTCAATACCAACCCTATTGAGGAGAGTCACTTCGTGACTAGACCACGAGGTCATTGACCAGTATTATCATAGTTTTATTCACAAATTATTTAAAAAAAACTGCTGTAATGCTGTTATGCCAAAATATAATGTGAAATGAGGTGGATTAGCAATAATCAAGGAATTTGTCAAAGTGCTTTCTGGGCATGCGTCACTTTGGTGACGAAATAAATTCCACACACGCTTGCACACTCCAAACCTAGTTCGATTTGTTGCAGAAACTTCTCCTTTTTTCTCGTATCATTCACTACCATTATATTTGTAATCTATAAATTTGCTAACACCTAAATACTAAGTACTAACCCAGGTAGGCCTTAATCATCACTCATCTGTCTTTATTCCATCATATCATATCAATGGCGGTTTCCCCCAAATTCTTAGTCGTCATTTCCGTCATCGTCATTTCCTTCTCATTAGCATCGCTAGCGTTAGGTGCAACCGAGACCAACAAGAATCCCAGTAGTCCCCCGCCGCCGCCGGCATGCGGTTCCGATACGGGCCGAGGGTGCCGGAACAAGGCGGCGGCGTTGAAGCTTAAAATCATAGCCATTGGTGCCATACTAGTGACCAGCATGGTAGGCGTTTGCACGCCGTTGATTTCCAAGATGATCCCCGCCGTTCAACCCGACACGGATTTGTTCGTGTTGGTTAAAGCCTTTGCCTCCGGGGTGATCCTGGCCACCGGGTACATGCACGTCATGCCGGATTCCTTCGACTGTCTTAGGTCGGCGTGCTTGCCGGAAAAACCCTGGAAGAAATTCCCCTTCACAACGTTCGTCGCCATGCTCTCGGCTGTACTAACGTTGATGGCGGATTCATTCGCCATGAGTTTTTATAAGAAGCATAAGCTGGACTGTCTGGCCGGTGAACAGCAAGATTCTCATCATCATGCAGCCGCCGTTGATGAAAGCGCCGCCGCCAAATTGCTTCGCTACCGCGTAGTCGCTCAGGCAGGCATCAATATTATATTATATCACTACTGAAAATTATAGAATTTCCCAATTCCCACCACCTGAAAGTGATCTTAAATCAAATTGAAAGCAAAAAGTGGTCGGAAATAGCAACAAAGGTTTTTCCCCATACCAAAAGTGGTGCTTTTCACTTGATAAATCACTTTCAGGTAGTCGGAAATTCCATAATTTCCAGTAATGTATACTCCATCTGTTCCATTTTATGTGTCTGGTTTGTTTAACAGATTACATTAAAGAATATGTATAATTGTATATATAATGCAGGTTTTGGAGCTAGGAATTATTGTACACTCGGTTGTGATTGGACTGTCGTTGGGAGCATCAGACAATCCATGCACGATAAGGCCATTAGTGGCAGCGCTATGCTTCCATCAACTCTTTGAAGGAATGGGTCTTGGAGGCTGCATTTTACAAGTAATTAAAACATAAATTTAATTTTGTTTTTTAGTTTATCTTTATTTAATTTTCATGAACTGATGTGCATGCATGCATGATGATTACGTAAATTTAGGCGGAATATGGATTAGCAACGAGAGGAATTATGGCGTTCTTCTTCTCAGCAACGACACCATTTGGGATTGTGCTAGGGATCGGATTGTCGAATGTTTACAGCGATAACAGCCCGACAGCACTGATTGTGGTAGGATTGTTGAATGCGTGTTCTGCGGGGTTGTTGAATTATATGGCGCTGGTGGATCTGTTGGCCTCGGATTTCATGGGGAATAAACTGCAGAAGAATATGAAACTGCAGACATGGGCTTATGTTGCTGTGTTGTTGGGTGCTGGAGGCATGTCTGTCATGGCCTTGTGGGCATAGCTGCTGCCTAGCTAGTATTTTTTTCATTTTTTTTATTTCTATGTTAGAGAACCTAGCTTGTAGTATGTAGAAGGAATTCAATTACATCCCGATCTCTATTCCGGCTATGTAACATCAAATTTTTAAGTGAGTAAAAATAAGAGTAGAACTTAAAATCTCTGGCCTGATTCCGTATACATATGTACTTTATGTTGGTACCGTTGGTAGAAAACAAATAATAATCAAATAAAAATTGATTATTATTTTCTGGAAAGAGGGGAAGAAAAATTGAAGAAATTGGCTAGTGTTTTGGTGTTGGGTTTTTGCAAGAGTCGAGTGAGCACTCTCTCCTTAAAACCTTATTTGCCACCTCCCAAAGATGCTAGGAGCGTTGTGGCCTAGGCTTCCCAGGATAAAACTTGCTAATGATTCAATGTTTGAGCACTCAAACAAGGAATCCGGCGAGCAAGACAATGGCTATGAACACAGTAGGCCAAGAAAAAGTAGAAGCACAGAGGTTTTGAGGTTGGAAAACAAAAGTTTCGTGCAGTGTTCTTGCTGTTTTCACAGTGTGTAAAACTCTACTGCCTCTACCTTCTCTTATATAGGGTTGAAGGAACCAATAGCCTTTATTATGGCAATTAAAAATGACATTAAAGCTGCCTTCCAACAGCTATAACAGCAGGTGCAGCAGCTATAACAGCAGGCCACTACCTGGGAATTAAATTCAGAATTCAAAATTGGAATTCAATCCCCTCAACAGTCAGAAATTCAGAATTCAAAATTGGAATTCAATCCCCTCAACAGTCAGAACTTTCGGGTTCCTGACCGTTAGCGTACATGGTTCGGTTGAGACCTCATCCAGTTTCGGCCCTTGCACTTCGGGTTCCTGACCGTTAGCGTACATGGTTCGGTCTCAACTTTCGACCTCATCCAGTTTCGGCCCTTGCACCTCTCGTGGACTCTGTTGCACGAGAGTTGTCCTCTCGGTGCACCACTCCACGAGAGTAGGTGGCTGTTGCACGAGAGTTGTGCTCTCGGTGCACCACAACCTCTCGTGCTCTCGGTTCGGTTCTGGCCGAACCAAGTGGCTATACCAGTTGGAGCTTGGATACCAGTAGCCAATTTCCAGGTGCCGGCGCACCGAGCTCGGGCTTGAATCAAGCCTTTTTCAAGCTCTACTAGTTGGAATTTGATTTGCACCCCCCCCCCCCCCCCCCCCCCCGCGCAAGAGAGCCTCTATGCTATACAATTCTACAAGCTTCAAAAGAGCTCTTGTATATAAGGGGGGAAAATCTTCATTCCAAAGCAATGTGGGACAAAAGCTCACTTTTTCCCTTCATTTTCCAACTCAAATGGGTCTACTTTGAGAATCAATATCTCATTCACCCATTATCCGTTTTGAGCGTACAATATATCGATCTCTTCGTCTCACTACGAAGAATCCGAATCCACTTTAACCCGACCCAAATCGGAAGTGGACCCCACTGATAATTGTACCACAAAATAGCCACTTAACATGCCATTTTATGCCATTTTAAGCTATTTTTCCAACAATCCCCCACATGAATGAAAAATTGATTTTCGGGGTATTTTGAAATCGGAAACAACTGTGTTCAAACGGTCGATCCCTGCATAGGATAGGTAGGGAGTCACTATACCCTTTGAACCTTCCATCGTGAAGACATGTTTACTCTACTGGCTGTACGGTAGAACGCGATGTCTTTGAACCGACTGTCGTTTGTGTAGACGATGACATATCTCACACAGGAATCTCCCAACCATGCTCTTGCTCTCATGAGTGTGCCCGTTTTGGTCGTGGGTCACCGTTCCTGGTTCTGCGAGAGTTTCTAAAGAATTGTGCCGAACAATTCTCCTTTGAAGCGACCCTCACTTCTCTCTAACATAGGTGATTCTTTCTCGAGTATCCCGCATACTCAAGAATCATTAAAGCATTAACATGTTAGCCTCTTGCGGGAGTCACTGTTTTAACGAGGAGTGGTAGGGAGTCCGAGACCCCCACAGTGACGCGCTCCGTTCCATAATTTAGTTGTCCCATTGAACCTAGGTGCCAGCTAGGTTGGGTATCCACTATAGAACTTTTTAGTCCAAGGGCAGTAGACCCATTCCTCGTGTCAACTTCTCCACAACTTCTCTTCCTAACCCTTTGGTCAGCGGATCCGCTATATTGTCTTTTGACTTTACGTAGTCAATCGAGACAACACCAGTTGTGAGTAGTTGTCTAATGGTATTATGTCTACGACGCACGTGTCTAGACTTACCATTATACATATGACTCTGTACTCTCCCGATTGTGGCTTGACTATCACAATGCACACATATTGGAGGTACCGGTCTTTCCCAATTAGGAATATCCTCTATAAAATGGCGTAGCCATTCAGCCTCTTCACAACCTTTGTCCAAGGCTATTAGCTCAGATTCCATCGTGGATCTAGCTATCACAGTTTGCTTCGAGGATTTCCACGCAACGGCTGCACCGGCTAGTGTAAACACGTAGCCACTCGTGGACTTAGAGTCCTTAATATCATATATCCAATTCGCGTCGCTATACCCTTCAAGTACGGCGGGATATCTCCCATAGTGCAGTCCAAGATCACGAGTATACCTCAAGTATCTCATAACCTTTACTATTGCCTTCCAGTGCATGACACCGGGGTTACTCGTATATCTACTGAGTTTACTAACCGCATAGGCAATATCCGGCCTAGTACAGCTCATAAGATACATCAAACTACCAATAACCTGAGCATATTCCACTTGTGAAATACCTTCTCCGTGGTTCTTGGTTAGATGAATGTTTGTATCAAATGGTGTCCTAGCCACTTGACTATCATCCTTGTTAAATTTCTCAAGGATTTTGTCAATATAATGTGATTGGCTCAACACGAGACCATCAGGTCTTCGTCTTCTAATGATTCTAATCCCGAGGATTAAATCAGCCAAACCCATATCCTTCATGTCAAATCTTGCATTTAACATGTTTTTAGTAGACTTGATCATCCGATCATTACTACCAACGATGAGAATATCATCGACATATAAACAAAGAATGATGTAGCCGTCTATCGTTTCCTTAACGTAGACACATTTGTCACTTTCGTTTATTTTAAACCCGTTAGTTAGCATCGCATGGTCAAACTTCTCGTGCCACTGCTTAGGCGCTTGTTTTAAACCATAAAGCGATTTAACCAACTTACACACTTTCCTCTCTTGGCCCGGAACCACAAACCCTTCGGGTTGTTCCATATAGATTTCCTCATCTAATTCGCCATTTAGGAAAGCGGTTTTCGCATCCATTTGATGAACTTCCAAGTTCCGCAACGCGGCTATGGCAAGTATCATCCTAATGGAGTTTATTCTCGTCACGGGAGAATACGTGTCGAAGTAATCGAGGCCCTCGCGTTGCCTGTAACCCTTGATTACAAGCCTAGCCTTATACTTCTCGATGGAACCGTCCGGTTTCATCTTCCTTTTAAAGACCCACTTAGATCCTAAGGGTTTACTACCCGGAGGAAGATCAACCAGTTCCCAAGTGTGATTCTGTAGGATAGAATCCACTTCACTTTTTATAGCCTCTTTCCACATTGGTCCTTCCGTAGAAGTCACGGCTTCTACATACGTTCGAGGCTCGTTTTCTATCAAACAAGATAGAAAATCGGGTTCATTTTCTAATAAACAAGTTAGAGTACCCGAGTCGTACTCTAACAAGTAAGTTAGAAAATCAGGACCGAATGATTTTCCAACTCTCGCCCGCTTACTGCGTCTCGGCTCGAGCTCGGGTTCTCTCTCGGATTCCCCACTATCATTATCCATAGTTTCGTCAAACGTTCGTTTTGACGTACTTGGTCCCTCGTTGGACCTACAAGGAAATATATTTTCGAAAAAATATGCATTCCTTGATTCTATTATCGTGTTCTCGGGTACATCCGGATTATTGGACTCGTGTACTAAGAACCGATAAGCACTACTATTATGTGCATAGCCAATAAAGATACAGTCCACCGTCTTAGGACCTATCTTTACTTTCTTAGGTGTTGGCACCAAAACTTTGGCAAGACACCCCCACACTTTCAGGTACTGGTAGGAAGGTTTCCTACCGTTCCACAGCTCATAAGGAGTCTTATCGAGCTTCTTTCGGGGTACCTTATTCAAAAGGTAATTACTTGTCAAAATAGCCTCACCCCACGCATCTTGAGGTAGGCCCGAACTTATAAGCATCGCATTCATCATATCTTTCAATGTACGATTCTTTCGTTCGGCAACACCGTTCGATTGAGGTGAGTAAGGTACAGTATGCTCGTGTATTATCCCTACACTCGCACAGAAGTCACCAATAGGTGCATCGTACTCACCACCTCGATCGCTTCTAACCTTCTTAATTCTCCGATTAAGTTGGTTTTCCACTTCATCCTTATAAAGAACGAATTTATCAACGGCTTCATCTTTGCTCTTAAGCAAATACACATAGCAGTATCGTGTGCTATCGTCGATAAATGTGATAAAATACTTATTACCACCTCTCGTTTGTATCGATCTAAAATCGCACAAATCACTATGGATTAACTCTAGTGGTTCAGTTTCCCTTTCAACCGACTTAAAAGGTACTTTCGTTAGTTTTGCCTCAACACAAATTTCACACTTGTTATTTGTGTCAATTTGAAAGTTAGGAATATGGTCCATGCTAATTAATCTACGCATAGAATTAAAATTAACATGACCTAGTCTACCATGCCACAAACTGGAAGACTCAAGCAAGTAAACAGAATTAACTTTGCTTTTATTGATAACAGGAATTACATTGAGCTTAAAGAGCCCATCAGTTACATATCCTTTACCAACAAACATCCCTAACTTGGACAAAACTACTTTGTCTGACTCGAACACCATGCGAAAGCCATGCTTGTTCAACAGAGAGCCAGACACAAGATTCTTCCTCAGCTCAGGAACATACAGCACGTTGTTCAACGTTAGTTCCTTCTCGGAAGTCATCTTCAGAACCA